CTATATTTCCGGTCCGATTCAAGCATGATGAGGATGGGGTTGCGTGGTGTTCGGGGGAAGACGGGTACTACCTAGCGTTGAGAATGGGAAAGGAGGAGACAAGGACAAACCGGCGGGGAGAGAGAGAGAGAGAGAGAGAGAGAGAGAGAGAGAGAGAGAGAGAGAGAGAGAGAGAGAGAGAGAAATGGGCGGATCGATAGACAGAGAAATGGGACTTCTTCCTCCGAACATAACGCACCCTGATAATGAAAATGTATGCGGTCCAATATACAGTCATGGTGAGGTTGCGATATGTTCGGGAGAAGAAAGAGTAGAGGGGGAGTACTTGGGTACAATTTCATTTCATTTGGCGTTGGATCTTCGTTCATCTTCGTTTTTCCAAAAAGAGATCTCATCCTTCACTTCTCAGCCCCTTCGTCCTTTTTTTTAGCTTTAAAACTAAGCCCTCATCCTTTTTGTAAGCTTTAAAACTAAGCCCTTACTTACTTTCATTTTTTTATTTTTTATTTTTTATTTTTTATTTTTTTAATAGTTTTTTTAGTGTTTTTTTTCAAGTTTTTGGTTTTGGCGATTTATTTGGTGATGGTGACGATGGTGGTGTTGATGGTGATATCGAGTATCATGATGAGGATGGTGATGTCAACAAGAAATTGACACTTGTCCAGCGAATTAATGACACATAACGGTAAACGTTATTGTTGCAAAGAAAATGGAACAAAATGGGAAAAGAATGGGGAATGAAATAGGCAAAAAAAAAAAAAAAAAAAAAAAAAAAAAGACCTCTCGAGTTCCGCCGGCACTCGTATTGCACGTGGTGTTGATTAGGCGCAATGTGCGGTCGCGATATGGTGGTAATTTTTATTATTTATTTGGCTGAAAATTTAGTTCAGCGCTAGCGCACGGATGACGACGTGGCCATCCAAAAAACAAAAGGAAAAATAGGAAAATAAAAAGGAAAAGAAAGGAAAGAAAAGAACGAGATATAATTTCTTCATCGGGAGGAAGAAAACAGAAGAAGCTGAAGAAAAGCAACGGCTGCTGAAGATGATTGACCTCGCCGCAGCACTCAGCAAATGTGCAAAATGAGAATGAATCTTCGGCTAGAATGCGGGAAGATAAACTGTCGTTATTTATTTCTTTTGTGCTTATGGTGAGTGGTGCGGCGAGGCCCTATGCGGCAGTTAATGACGAGATGATGATATTGATGGTGATGGTGATGATGATGATGATGAATATGATGAATATGATGATGATGATGATGATGATTGATTATGATGATGATTGATTATGATTGTCCTTCGGGATATCCGTTAAATATGATGAATATGATGATGATGATGATGATGATGATGATGATTGATTATGATTGTCCTTCGGGATATCCGTTAAAATTGGAATGATACAAAGAAGATGAGCAGGGTCCCTGCGCAACGATGAGACGCACAAATCGAGAAATGGTCCCCAAAAAAAGAAGGGAAAAAAGAGATTGATGATGATCGATGAGGATGGTAGATGATAGCTTATGATGAAGCACAAGATTGCATGTGACAGCAATTGTTTTTAATTGAACTGAAAAACTTGGGTTCTCAGTGGCTATTTATGTGCTCATATTGTGAAAGGAAAAAAAAAAACAACGTTGTTTTAAATTTGAAATCATTCTGAAAAAGTAGTAATATATAATAATATAATAAAATGACAAGATTGAATGATAAGCTATTCAGTTGTTCTGAAATGCTGGAATGCTGGTCAATTATCGGCCCTCGCTCGACTAGTCTACATTCGACATGTATGTGGACTGTTTTATGCACCAGATGCATTC